GGGCTGTTTTTTTAGTTTTCTTTAGTTTTAAAACTTATTAATTATAATATAAAAATAATTGAAAGTGTTAATACATAATGAATAACCAATAAATAAAACCTCATTTAAATTTTTTGGATATCTTTACTGGTTTAGCGGGAATACGGTTTCAAAGTTCTACTATGCTGCTGCACGAAATAAGGTGTGAGCCACTGTATATATACATTGTGTGTGTTTACACAAATATCAGCATATACATATATACATACATACATATTTATATACACACGCATATACATATGTATATGTGCTTAGAGATGAGATCATTTTGGTGAAATGCACTTGTTAATTATGCACAAATTTGACAGCAAAAGACGAAGAAGAAGTTGACGAAAAAGTAGACGAACTTTATAAAGAATTTACGTACATACATATACTATATAAAAAGCAAAACCAATTAACGAAGAACAATTGACAATAAAATTGAAACTGATTTTGTGTTTTGGTCCCCTTTGAAAGAAATTTGACCTCGAGGCATATTTACTAAAAGTTTGTAAGCCACAAATTGTATTAGCGAGGGCAAAAAACACACCCCTAATTAAATTTAAAATGAAATCTTGCCGTACAATAACTAAAAATGTGCATAAATTTAAGTGTAACTACACACACACACACACATACAAACACACATAAACACGTATAACCAACTAAATGCTATAAGCAAAAATGTCATACATATATACATACTATATACTTACATATATAAATGTTGAAAAATAAATGTATAAAACTATAACAAAAAACTTTTGCTATTTACATTTAAGATCGAGTCAGCTGGTTGTCCCAAGGCTACCCATTATATACAGGCTGCCAGACAAATGTACATACATACATAGATACCAGGTTTATTACAATTTATAAAAAGTTTGAAAACCATATTTAATTTAGCACTATAAATGTTTAACAAACAAATGTCTTTTTGTACAGTAAATTTGGAAATTCTGGAAATTTGGTTAATGTTGAGTGCAAACTCACTTTGTACTTAAGTTAGAAATTCTATTTAGTTAAATGCATTTTAGATTCACTTTAGGTAACTTTTGACCACATTCCGCAACTCGCTGATGACCTGTCGCTGATCGGCAGAGCCGACTACAGCAGTGCCCGATACAATCCAGTTGGCGCCCGCCTTGGCACAGCAATCAATGGTCTTTGGTCCGACGCCGCCATCCACTTCAATATCCAGATTGGGATAGTTATTGCGCAGCCATTCCACTTTGGGCATCATGTCGGCCATGAAGGATTGACCGCCAAAGCCTGGCTCCACGGTCATGACCAGCACTAGATCTGCTACATCAATATATTTCTCGATTTCTTTTACCTGAAACACATGTTCACATAGAAAGCGCATGCGCACATAACCTCAAAAGTGTTACCTCGGTGCCTGGCTTGATGGCCAGACCCACTTTCATGCCGGCCTCCTGTATTTTACGCGTAACATTACACACGTCCTTAACGGGCTCCACATGAAATGTATACAGATTAACGCCTGCATCTGCCATAGGCGCTATCCACTGCTCTGGATTCTGAACCATCATATGCGTCTCAAAGAATGCCTCCTATGCAGTACATATGTAGATACACGCATGCATATACATATGTAAACACATCTCAAATAACGAAACCACACGCTTACCTTGATATGGTTACGCAAGCATTTTACCATGGGATGGCCAAAGGTGAGATTTGGCACAAACGCACCGTCCATAACATCCAGATGCAAATAGTCTGCGCCATTGTCTAATAATTTCTGAGACTCAGCTGCCAAATTGGCCAAGTCTGCGTTTAAAATAGACGGTCCGATTTTCGCTTGAATTGGCATCTTATTGGTCTTGTTGCAGGCGCAGCAATTTGGACGCGCCTTTGGACAAGATGGGGAAGCCGTTGTGTCTGCTAAGGTCAAACTGAGGGGAGCTGGTGCTCGAAATTTTGACGTTTTGAAACGTAAACAATCCAAGCGAGGGCTGCACAAATCTTGAAACGTTAACACGCGAATGGTCAAACAACTAAAATTCATAATTTTCCATTTGGTGACTTCAATTTGTTCATTTTGCGCTTAATAAATACTTTTACATTGAGAATGTATGTAGCTTGGGGTGCTTAGATACAACTATAATTCGTCCTTAACATGTACGCCAGGATATTCTTTATTTTCGATGGTAACGCCCTTGCAACGTTCCTGCTCCACCAAAAAGTCTTTTGCCTCCCAGGCCTGGGCTCCATCCTTGAACAGGAATATCGCTCGATTGTCATCGACCATATATCGCTCTGCTTGTATATGATTATTCCATAAACTAGTCTGCCACAGCTTTGTTATCTGTTCGCCCTCCTCTCGGGTGGGATTGCCGGTAACCGAAACAAATGTCATGAGCGTGCGCCCCTTTTTCGATACTTTGAGCAGATCTTCGGGGTTTTTGCTGTCTAAATTTGATAAATCTAGCTTCGGTTGTGGGCGCAGGTGCTCTGGTAACTCATCTGGCTCAAGTGGTTCCTCATCTTCCTGTAAAATTAGTTTTTATTTTGCTGATGAAACTGAGTGTTCAGCTTTACGTACATCCCATTGGTCGAGCAGACGCTCCAAATCGGCTTCGCTGTAATCTCGTATATCCTTTTTAGCCCACTCTGGTTTTTCACCATCCTTGAACTTCTTTGACAACACGACAGGCACAATTGCCAGCAGTAGTAAAATAAACTGTGTTTGCATTATTTAATTATTATTTTATTTTTACCCGCAGCTCAACACGTCAGCTCGTGAATTAGCATTCGCTTGGAACAGCGAAGCGTGGATAGTCGAACAGCTGTTCAGCCAAAATGCTATTCACTGGACGACGCGAGCAAAACAAACGCTTAATATTTAATGTGTGGTCACACTCTTAATAGCAAAGGGGGAAAAAAGTGGTGGGAGTGAAATTAGTGAGGCAGCAAAACCCAACCCACTGACTGTTAAATAAGTTCTGCTAAAATTGGAGAGCACGCACATTGCTGCCGTTGCAATGAGAACTTCTCTTTGAGTGACTCTCGCAATAATTACCTGAGCTGCCGCCAGTGGCGGCTCGCCACACAGGCACAGCTGTTAACCGCTCACTTTCAGTTGTAATCGAGCGGCCGTCGGTGTCGCGTGTGTTAAAGTTTGTGCGTAGTGGAGAAGATGTTACATAGCACAAGGTAAATTTTCTACGTTGCTATTGTTGTTGTGCTGTGATCCATTTGGCAATTAAAGATAAAGCTTTGTATACATACGTCCATATATGCAAACATTAAACAACAAAGGTTATGGAGCTGTAGGTTTAAGAAAAGTGAATAATATAAGTGAATTCATATCGATTCCAGGAGGGTATTCACACCCATACATACCAACAATATGTTGTTAATTAACGTAACACTTTGAAAACAGTGCCAAATGTCTTACGCTTTTGTGTATTTATTTCGTGTAATGCTTAGCGAATTATTTAAATACAGTGTCTTGTCTATATTGTTGTTGGCATGTTTTAGTTGATTTTTTCCGTGGATGATTGTTGTTAGTGATGACATCATCAGCAACATCATCGCTGTGTGTGTGTTTTTTTTTTTTGTTTGTCTCTCAATTCTATTCCATTTTGTTTTGTTCTAATGTTTAGAAAAGGCTAAATTCATACGAAGCGGGAGCGACCAGGCTAAACCACGCGTACTCGCGCATACACGCACACGTACACCGTTCAAACTTAAATAACAATAAACAAACGTGAACGAAAGATTACAAAATCAATAAGCAGCCGCTTTTTAGCTGTTAACAGCTGGTTTTCTAATTGGAGTTGAAAGGTGTTTGTTGAAAACGGCACAGGAACGCCGGTTAGAACAGCAACGACGACGACGACGACGGCGCCGCCAGCTTCAGGATGGTGTTCGAGGCCATAGTAGCAGATGTGCTCAACAAGGTGCTGGGTGATTACATTGAAAATTTGGATCACAAGCAATTAAAAATTGGCATCTGGGGAGGTGAGTTCACAAAAAAAATATGTTCCCCAATTGTGTACGTAAAATGCACGCAGTTAACTGTCACGCTATTTGCGCATTTAGCTTTATTTATTATCCACCACCATGCTCTATATACATATGTATGTGCGCTTGTATGTGTGTACATGCATATGTATTGCTTGATCACATCATTTTTTGTCTTTGCTTGCGCGACCTTATCCTTCTGGCTTTGCACAGTGACCCAATTGTTAAATATTTGCATGGGCGTGAGAGCGGCGCGAAAGCGCTCTCCCATGTCTATGTGCTGCATCGCTCTTGCTCTCGCACTCACGCTGTCTCTATCACTCTTGCTCTTTGCCCATCTCTATTTGAAGCTGTTGAACTGTTGCTTCTGTTGGGAATGCTATTCTCGCGTTTGTATATAGGATCAGCAGAAACAATAAAAAGCACAAGAATGACAACAAAAGCTGCGGCTTTCAAGCGGTTTCTACTCTTCTGCCGAGGGTATAACAGTTTTCTCACACAATTTGCAGTTTTAAGAAGAGATAATAAACGATGCTAAGCTATACAATCACAATAAAGTCTATATATTATTTTAAACTTATTTATTTACATTTAGATATGTATGTATGTATATTGAATTTACTGCTCTGAAATTTACTTAACAAGTAGTTATATGATGTTAGCATAGGGTATTTAAAGTTCATCTTGCCGTTACATTTTTTTTAATCTCTTTTGTGCTGACTGCAGAAGTATAATATTACTTAGGTTTTCTTAAAAGATAAAAAAGAGCGTTTATCAGTAGCCCGCTCAAATTACACGATATAAAGTTATAATAGAAATGCAACGTTTGTCTTTTTATTGTTTATGTATTCTTTTGTATGAAACGCATTACAAAGCCAATTTACGTACTTGGAAATACAAGAGTTTATCAAACAACTCTTGACTTTTATATGAAAACAAATTTTCCCCATTTTAATTTTAATTAAATCTAATAAAGTTAGTGCCTCGCCGTATACCTTATATAGCATGCTTGTCCCGGTAAACGGGTTTTGCGGCGTCTATTTCAGCTTGAATGACAGCTAAACAAAATTTTGAACTTGAACTCGGATGACATAATGCGTAGCTCTTGAATAATAAATGTATTTGTTCACTGAGTGTTTTTCTTTGAATTTTAACCCATATCAGGCTATAAAAGCTGTGATAAGTATAGAAGATATTGGATAGATAGAAAAGTCTATTAGAAGGGTTTTAGAGTATATGGAAAATGGAAATAATTAACATATATTGTTTAACAAGCAAGTCTATTTAATAAACATATATTCATGAAGTAGCGAATACATTATAGGTGAATATGTATATACATATATTCGTATATATGCATGCCCAAAATGATAATACTGCTTTACTATAACAAATATTAATCATTCCGTTTTGTTTACTAAAACTGAAATACATTTAAATAATTGCCTCTCAATTGTAAATGGGTGTATATATACATACATATGCATATTAACTGATTCATCCAAGGTTTTCGTATTATTACTTCATGTGGGCAAATTCTCATATATGGGCCGCTTACTGATAAGCGACACTTGTGCGCGATAAGAGAGCTATACAGACTCAAAAGAAAAACAATTTTAAATTTACTCTTCGAAAAGGGAGCACCTGGTAGTAAAATTGGTTCATATATGTATATGTATTCATAGGTGAACGTATCATATAAAGTTTGCAAGTAAATATAATTACAAATATATATTAGAAAACCAATAAGGCTTTAATACTTTTAAGAAATCATTAGAAATATCTATCTTTGTAATGGATGTATAAATATAAAGCCCAATTAAATTAAGTATTGCTTATACTTCACTAGCTCCCGTTTTAAATCGCTTATAAAAACGTTATAGGCTTATATAATTAGTTAATCGGTCAACTCAAAATTTTGGACAATATTCTCTCAACTTCTTATCGATGGCAATTCTAGTATTTACTGATAATACAAATTGTGCTTATATTTCAAATACTATCTGATTTATAGCTCAATATTCCATAGAATATGAGGAAATATTTCGTCTGATCGTTAACTAAATTGACCTATATTAGGTAATTCAATCAAAAAATTAATATGCGCTATCCGAGGTCAAAAATGTTTTCTTCTTCCATATGGCATTCCGGGCCTAACAAACAATCGAAATTCCAGGCACGCCCAATAGCCAGCCATGTGTGCTTGATATGGCGCGCCATAAATACATATACATTTATGCAAATATGCATATATGTATATGTATATATGTATATCTAAACTTATGCATAAATGGTTGGCATATTTTGTTACTCTAACACTCGCCGGTTTTTGTTTATTTGTTTGCCCAACAATTTTCAAAGCATTTGCCGTAATAAATCAATTTGCTAATAGCGTGCATTAATACGGTACATAATTTCTAAGTATTGTCTATTTATTTTTACATTAATCTATAAATATATAATTGAATTTTTTTTTTTTCAGGCGATGTGGTCTTGACCAATCTACAAATACGCAGCAATGCGCTGGACGATATGGATTTGCCCGTTCAGCTAGTCTATGGCTATTTGGGTATGTTGAGAAATATTGTTGAAGGTAAATGTTTATCTCCTTTTAATGTGTATACTTTGTTTAGGCAAATTGGTGCTGAAAATACCCTGGAAGAATTTATATAGCCAGCCGGTTATAGCCGATATTGATGGTCTCTATGTGCTTGTCACGCCCAACAATGACGTTCGATACAATGCTGAAAAGGAGCAGAATAAAAATTTGGCTACCAAAATGGCTGCACTGAATGCTCAGGAGGCTGCGATGAAAAAGGAGCTAGAGCCGGGTACGATGAATCTAACATTAAGCTATATAGAAATTATATTCCTAATCATCTTAACCATCGTCTTGCAGCTGTGCCCAAGGGTGACGCTGGCTTCGCGGAAAAGCTGACTGCACAAATTGTTAACAATTTGCAAGTAAAAATTAGCAATGTGCATTTTCGTTATGAGGATTCCACAACGACGGGATCGGCATTCTCGTTTGGCATAACGCTGAATGAACTGGAACTTTAT